GCTAAAGGAGAGCCATCAACTTCAAGCAGCTTTATTTTCTCTCCTGCAAAAAACCAAAGCAAAAAAAAAATCTAAGAACATGGATCCCCTTTCAGACTAGGGGAGGAAGGGGGGAGACAAAGAAAGGCCACCAAACACAAATTAACATCCCAAAAGTGACCTGCCACGTGTGTGTGTGTGTGTGTGTGTGTGTGTGTGTGTATACAAACTGAATTCTATGCCTTTTTTGTTCATCAAACAACATATCATAGTCAATATCTCCATGTCAGAACACGTATGTGCTGCATTCTTTTAAAAAGAAAATTCACATAGCATTCCATTTCGCAGTTGCAGCATAATATATTTTTATCACTATTCTCCGWGAACATTGAAGTCTGTTCTACTGTTTTGCTATTTCAAATAATAACCATATTAATAATCATACTTGTATGTTCAGCTTTACATCAAAGAATGAGAATCTTTGTCTGACAAAGACTTTAGGAGCTGAATCACTAGGTCAAAGGGTGTATGTGAATTTAAATTTTGGATAGCTAGAGCCAAATCACCCTCTAAAAATTGGCATCTATTTGCAGGCTCATAAACAGTGAATTTAAGTGTTTTCATGCACCTTCAGCCAGGGATTGATCAGAAACTCCGAGTTTCTGATCCTTCTCATTAGGTAAATGGAGCTATTGATGGTTTTATTCTTGTTTTCGGGTGTAATTCTTTCGTTAGGAATGAAGTGAACATTTTTGTGTGGCTTTTGGCTGTTTGCATGTCTTTTGGTGGAAACTGCCTCTCCATGGCCCTTGTATACTTTTCCTATTGGGATGTTCATCTTTTTTCTTATTGATTTTTAATTCATATTTTGAATATTAAGAAAGCTAGCATCTGCTTATTTTAAATATCCTATACTTAAGTGTTGCAGATTAGAAATGATCTCAWGCCACGTAATTTCTAACGTTGAAGCCATTTCCTCTTTCTACTCAGTGTCCAAAATGATCTTTCTTCTCTGTGTGTGCGCTGGCCTCTCCTAGGGGAACCCCTCAATGGCCAGCTGGATGAAGAAGGTAGAAGCCAGGAAGATGGAGAAGAGAAAGAGAAGAACGGGGAGAAGGAAGAMTTGCACGGGGAGGCATCTGAAATCTTCACCTCAGAATCGGTGCAGACCTTCCCGGTCAGGCATCCAGATAGATTTTCTTCCCATCGACCAGACAACTTGGTACCACCAGTGCCACAGCCCCCACGAAGAAGCCGGGATCACAACTGGAAGCAGCTGGGGACAACAGAATGTTCAACAACCTGTGGGAAAGGTGAGCCTGCCTGTGGGACAGGGTGTCCCTGCAGAACCCAAACAARGAAGTATGTCTCAGGGTGTGTGGCAAATCCTCACTTTGGTGTCCTACCTGTGAAATGGTTCATTGGCACAACAGGCAGGGTTAGAGGTCCCCAAGATGACCCTTGGGCTCAGTGATCTACTACAAGGACTTACAAGATTCAGAAAGGCTCATGTTTACACTTTATAACAATAAAAGGATGCAGTTTAGAATCAGCAAAGAGAAATAACATATGGACACAGTCCGGGAGAAACCAAGGGCCAGTTTCCAGGTGTCTCCCCCTCGAGGTTACCTGGTAGAGCCACTCAGGGATACCCTTTATTTTCCCCACAGTGATGTGCGACAACACACCCTGAGTACTGCTGACCAGAGATGYTCACCCAAGTTTCAGTGTCCAGAGCTTTTACTGGGCATTAGTCATATAGGCATGTAGCTCCCACATGGCTTGCATTAGCTACACAGCCTTTAGTACCCCCAAGGTCAAACCAATACAGTGTAGCTAGCAAGGCTTGAGGCATACAAATACAGTCACTGTAAATCACATTGTCGGCACAAATTATCCTGACAAATCCATACACATGGCCCAAGATCTCAGGCATAGAAAAACTCTCACCAGGCAGAATTTTCCAAGGACTCCAAGGTCATCTCCCAGTAGCTGATTCAGGGACAGTTGTGAGGACAGACCTTTCTGTGCAATGTGCAGGGTTTGAGCAACCCAGGCTGCTGAGTTAGGCCTTTTCTGGGCATATATATATTCACAGTAATTACAGAATGCACATTTCAGGTCTAAAATTGATATACAAGTCAAGGTTGTAGAAGATTTTACACAAATGCCATTTTAAACTCATTCTCAAATCTAATGATTTTAGGAGAGTAAAACATACTTTGAGGGCTTGAGGTGTTAATTGGCTGGCTTTTATACTCATGGTTTCCTTTCCATACTCTCCCAGTAAAAATCTTAATTCCATATTCATCCATTAGCCTAACTCAGTCAGATAGGACCTCCAAGGGGCAAACCTGTACCCAGCAAAGTCGGGTTTATTAACTTATTGCAAGAAGGGACACTAGAAACCTGAAGAAGCATGGCCTGTCTCTCCAAACAAAAGGGAGTTATAGGATTTGGGAGATGGATGGAGTTCTGGTGTCATTTCAATAAAGCAGAGTTTTGACAGGCTCAAAGCATGACTGTGTCAAGGGGCCAACATGAGGCCTGAACATGGACCCAGCATCCCATTTCCTTGGAAGCTCCAAAGTTAGGATAGGTGTGGATCATGGTATCTAGAAACTCCTTATGTGACATTGTCCCCTTGATAGGAAATGAACTGTGCTTCTGCTTCAAGGTAACTTTGATCCTCGTTACAAGAATACTCTATAAACTGTAGTTATCATATCCTTCAGATATATAATAATAGCCTCTCATTTGTACTAAAATTCTATTATTGTCCCTGAAATGGYTGTTGTCTGAAGGGAGGTTATTATAGAAACAAAAAGGCTGTGTCCCCCCAGGATTTCCTACAACCTGTGTCACTATGTGATACACCCAACATATTGTTTTGGGATTTCTTTTCTTTTCTTTTCTTCAAGAGACTTGAATCTAAGAGTATGAAATTTGGAAATCTTGACATAATTCGAACATAGAAAAATCTCTCACAATTGCTTCTAAAGCTTTGACTTAGTGGCTTTGAGAATAAAATTTAAGTCTTGGATTCCTCTGGGAGCTAGAGCTCTTCCTGCCCAGAATCTCTGAAATTCCATAAAGACTTGGTAACTAGAGTATTAATTTACAAGGTTTTATTCCAATTTTATTGTGCTCATGCTTGATACATGTGCAAAGAATGTGGACTGGCAATTCGTTGAACCCAACTTCTTCTGTAAGCTTTATGAGGGAAAATCACATTTATGAGGGAAAATGCCTGTAGAATGTGTCTTGAGAGAGGTAGAAAGCTAGGAGTAATTCTGCATTAAGGCCAAAATCATTTTAATGAGACTCTGGCCATGACATTTATAGAGATAAGTAGTATGTAATGTAATTAACATAGGAACCCAAGATCAAAGTGTATTATTTCCAAAATATTCTGCCATCTGTATAGTGGTGTGATGCCTGTGAAAGGAGTCAGATATACTCAGAACTAGGTGAAAATGAGAGAAAGTCATTAAAAGGATGAAAATTATCATCATTTGGGGTTTGGGGGGATTTTTTTGTTTTGTTTTTTGATACTGGGGATTGAACTCAGGGGCACTTGACCACTGAGCCATATCCCCAGCCCTATTTTGTATTTTATTTAGAGACAGGGTCTCACTGAGTTGCTTAGCACCTCACCATTGCTGAGGTTGGCTTTGAACTCACAATTCTCCTGTCTCAGCCTCCCAAGCTGCTGGRATTACAGGCATGCACCACTGGGTCCAGCTCATCATGTGGTGACATATCAAGAATGGCATAGATAGAAGTTTCTCTTCCACCCCACCCAGCCACCATAAGGCATTGCATTGTGGACATAATGAGATAAGGATAAAGTATGTACCTTTGGCCAACACATCTTCCATACTCTGTGTCCAGCAGTAACTGGATGRATGCTGCTCACTCGTCTAGGTAGCCATTCAGCAGGCCTTTCTCTATTCTATACTTGACATGATGGAGAGACCCCGTATCCAAAGTTTCCAGTTATTTTGGCCCCTAACCTACCCTGGATGTGTGATCCACACTGAGGTAAAAACTCTTCCTCTTATCCTCTGGTATTGAGCCAGCAAACTCCTGTTTCTACTCCAAGACCTACCTACCTCAGATGCCACCTCCTCTGTGAAGCTTTCCTAATTCTGCAAAATGCAAATAGGCACTTCTGCATCTGGGACTCCCAGCAGTTCAGGAAACATCTCTGTCCCCACCCTTCCTGGCTGGGCTGTCTCCATGAGTATGCAGTTTGTAGCCTCTGCACCTGGTACCACAGCACAGCAGCCTATTTCAAATGTGTCTAGGATAAATGAATAGATTATTATATTTCATATGTGGGCTGTATGAACTATTAGAAAAAATACAAGAACAGCTTTTATATCTTTATTATATCCTAGACACACAACTCTATTCCTGCCTTTACCCATGTGCTATCAATAACATAAAAAATGTGGATTCATATATTCAAAAATGATCTGGGGCTGGGGATGTAGCTCAGTTGGTAGAGTGCTTGCCTTGCATGCAAAAGACCCTGGGTTCAATCCCCAGAACCACAAAAAAAAAAAAAAGAAAAAGAATAGTCTGTGTCTCTATGTTTCCATRTGACTCTGTGTAATCTTTAAGGTAGCATTCTCCTTGACATTGTGGATTCACACTGTCTTCTAGATTGTGAGGTCTGGAATTTGGCATCCATACCCATTTTAAATATTTAGGCTGTACACATCCACTTGCACATGTGCACATCCACACTTGGCATCTGCCACTCATGAGTATCTGAGGTGACATTCCTACCTTCTTCTTTTCCCTGCTAGACAGTACTGGTTTGGAAGCCAAAGAGATACTGCAGAGGTACATTGGGAATAAACAAAAAATGGGGGTATTTCTTTCCCTAACCTTCCCTTTTCTTATAGTCCTAGCTCTCTTTTTCTTTCATGTGACAAATGCCAGCAGCCCAAGGGTGCCCCTCCTGTGCTCCCTCTAAAGTGATGTCACCAGATGTGCAAGGCCAGGGAGACAATGTGGATGCATAGAACATATAGCTCATCTCRCAGTCATCAGCAGGACTATCAAGTGTGTTGTGACCAAGAAATTCTAAGAGTGCCAGCACTGTCCAACCCTTTTCTGCATAACCCAAATCCATACCTCTTGCAATCTCATCATCTGTGCCTTACAAACCCTCTCCCAGACTCTTGCCCATCCCCCCTGGGGGAGCCAGCCACACGTGTCTGTGTCTCCCACATTTACATTTCCCTTTTTGTAAATGTTTCGGCAGCAGCATGCCAATCATGGTATTAGCCTTTTAGGATGGTAGCCAAGATTGTATGTCACTACCCAGACCTCTGTCAAAGTCCTGGCATGGCTCAGTTGATTCCTGCAGGTACAAGCCTAGAGTTATTAACCTCTTACTTGATCCATCTTACATCCATCTCTCCATAATATCTCACTGACCTCCACCCCATCCCTTGAATTAACTAACTAACAACATTTATTGTAAACTAATAACCTGAGGTACAGTTCCCAATTCTGACATAACACACTTCTATTTTGATCAGGATTCCCACATACCAGCCAGACCAACCAACCCCACATTTGTTCTTCTGCCCTAAGCCTAGCCAGCACCTGCCCTCAACACCCTGTCCTTGCTTTCGGGCAATGATAAGAATCATTGGATTGTAATCTTGGACAATGCGAGGTAGTCAGGTGCCCTTCTGAGTGACAATCTCCCTTTCTGTGGATGTAAGAACTGACCTAAAGAAAGAAACCATTGCAGTTGCTGGAGTCAAGAATTGTAGGTCCAGTATTTCCTCACCATCAGAGAGACAAAGAGCCTCTGATTTCATTTCCTTGGTTCATTTCCATGGAGCTGGACCAYGGACAATGGACAATGCACATAAATGCAATAAAATTGGGGAAGGCAAGCAGTGGCCACCTGCCAAACGCCCCCAAGCAGGACCCATCCTTCCAAGCAAGAGCATTCCTATGGTATCCTGTATCCTTTTAGCTAAAAATATTAGATTTCCCCCTCGGTGAGTGCCAAGTGGTTGGGGTAGTGATTTTTGCTTTCCAATCCACGAACTTATAAGTGGAAAAGTTAAACCCACATGGTCTAGAGGGAAAGGAATAGGCTAAATAAGATCTTTACTTAARCCCTTAATAGCTGGGTCCTAAATGGGTGCACTGCAAGCTGGGAGTTAAGTCTTGTTCTTCTTTTTAACTCAGCACAATATGCTTAATGTTTATTGAATTTAATTAGAAATCTGTTCTATTTAATGGAAGGAGATATGTAGTTGAACAAAATTTAATTCCTCAAAAGTTTTTGCTTCCCATCAATTTTACAGTCAGTACTGCTTTTTACTGAGCTAATAATTGGGCCTAATTGGAACGTTATTTTAAATAATGGTCTCAAGTTATAGCTACACTGTAAATTCTTACAACCAGAGTCATTTAAACAAATGATTATTTCAGATTCAAAACTGTCTTACAAACTGACAAATTTYTTATGAGAACAACCTATCCTCTGGCTCATTCTGTCATACAAAATCAATTTGAAGGATATCTGAGACACTTGCATGGCTGATGTCATATCAAGACATGTAAGTCGTAGCTCCAGAAAATATAAGTGCCTGGCAAATTAGCAACAGAAATAAGTAGTTTTAGAATAAATTATAGTGCTCTTCCCGGCAGGAATTATGCACCACCCCGCACTGGAGGTAGACAGCTATTTGTGAAGAAGCAATCTCAGAAGCTTGATTCAGACAGTATTCTCTGTTCTTAAAATTCCACTAGTAGTACCCCAGTGCTGTCAGCAGGTGGCAGCAGAGAGGAAGACAGAACTGAATTGAGAGCTGGAAATTTCACTGATCAAATTCTGGCTTGTTGTTCAAAATAGTTTTATCCTAACTAAGCCAGTGAAACTTGGCTATGTTTCTAAAACAAAACCATGAGGCAGTTTTTTTTAGCAAAATACCAAAAACAAGTATAATACCTCTGTGTTAGTCAGGTTTTCATCACTGTGACAAATGCCTGAGAAAAACAACTTAGAAGAGGAAAGATTTATTTTTGGCTCATGGTTTCAGAGGTTTCAGTCCACAGTCAACCAGCTCCACTGCTTTGGGCCTGAGGTGAAGTAGGATATCATGGCAGAAGGGCATGGCAGAGGAAAGCTGCTCAGCTCATGACAGCCAGGAAGCTTATGTCAGGGTGTGGGGGGCAGGGAACACACAAAATATAGCCCCCAAGGGCACACTCCCAAGGACCTACTCCTTTCAACTAGGTTTTACCTCCTACAGTATCCACTACCTCCCACTAATACCATCGAATTATGACTCCATCAGTGGTTTAATCCACCAATTAGGTTAGAGCCCTCGAAATCCAATCATGTCTCAAATACCCACCTTTAAATATTGATGCAATTGAGGACCAGACCTTGAACACATAAGGCTTTGGGGCACATTCCAGATCCAAACTATTACAACCTCTAATAAATATTTATTCTACAAGCTTGTATTGAGCACCTGCTACTTTCCTAGGTCCTGGAGTTGCTGAGATGAATAAGAACTAGTCCTGTCCCTGAATAGCCCACTGTCTTCATGAGAAGCAGACATACCTGAAACAGAATTACCACTGGATTTGGACATTGTTAGAGTAATGTAGAAATATGTTACAAAGGGAGACAGCAGCTATTCTTGAATCTTGAATCTTCTTCCTGCTTTGCTTCAACTTGCCACACATGTGTACCTGGTCTAGAAAGTCAGTTTGTCAAGCAGGTACTTTTATTCCAGATTAACCACCTGGGCAGCCCCTCCCCCAATACAGGTGCACATAAACTACCCAAGCCCAGCCCTTTCTCTGAAACATGGCTKCACCCCTCCAGGACACTTTCTCTTGGATGCTTCCAGAGAACCTTAGAAAGTAACTATTTGTGTTCATTCTATAGTCACTCCCAACCTAGTGAATTCTTTTTTGTTATTTCAAACCATTGTGAAAATTGCTTTTATCTACCTTTGAATATATTCAAACCATGTCCACAAATAGAGTAGAAACACTCTGAGGCAGGAGCTGTGTGGGACTCTCCTTTGCACGCCCATAGTCACTAGCAAAGTCCTGTGAGTAAGTGCATATCGACATACTGGTGAAGGAGGGCCTGTGGGGATGGTCCTCCTTTCWCCAGCCCTCAACACCTGTGCACCATCCCGGAGCCCAGCTTCAAGTGTGTGAGGCTGACCGTGGCGCTCTCCTTGTCCTTACAGGATCACAGTACCCTATTTTCCGCTGTGTGCACAGAAACACTCACGAAGAGGTTCCAGAGAGCTTCTGTGACTCCAGCATGAAGCCAACCCCAGAGGAGGAGCCCTGCAACCTCTTCCCTTGCCCAGCCTTGTAAGAGGCCTCTGTCTAGGTCACCTATTGTCGGGTCACTTCTGGTTGGTGTGCATGAGACCTTAATAGCAGATAGAATCTAGTTATTAAACTAGTCTGAGTCGGATTTACAAACACCAGACTTGGCTGTGCATGCCTTGTGGTCTGTTTAGCAAGCCTACCTGTCTTTCTGGAGAAACCCGGGAGCTGCTGGCCTTTAGCAAGTGGCACACTGAGCAAGAAAGCCCACCCTTTGGGAAATTGGGGCAACTGAGGTTTAGCCTGGTAAGGAAAACAGGTGGAAGCAAAGAATGGGAACCTGGTACCATCAGTGCTGTYAGGGAGCTGAGTACAGAGAGAGGGTACTGAGAGTGGGCCTGGAAAATTCAGAAAAAAGTGTCTCAAGAGAGGTCTTAGACTGGTTAGATACTTCTAAAAGAACTGGGGGAAAGGCCCTAAAAGGTCAAAACCTAATTCTCTGAGTAATAAAAATAATACTCTCATCCAAATGCATAATGAGCATGTGCTGATGTCACATGCAACTAATCACTGAGTTGAGAGGACAGAGGAGGATATGCAAAACGGATGTGGACAGAGGAGGATATGCAAAGGAAGGGCTGCTGGAGGGAGGTCTCTGGTGCCAAACCAGGTTATGTTCCCCAGCGTAATTAAAGTCCCCTTTGAAGTGGCTGGGTTCTGTTTTACCTTGTTTACTAGATAGAAATCCTTTGTACCTTCTCAGCATTCTATAACTTCATATAGAATCTGGGCCCTGGTCACTGGCAAATAGCATGTCAAACAAAATTTGCTTCCCTTATGAGTCAGATGACCTTAGTCAGATTTGCAACCAATGATCCAGGAGGAGGGTCCCCCAGGGATTCTGATGATTATGAATGGGCTGGGCTCACGCTTCCCTCTGAAGTCTCTCTCTCTCTCTCTCTACCCCCGGACCACCCCACCTCTTTTCGGAGCCAGCTGGGACATCGGGGAGTGGTCTGAATGCAGCAAAACTTGTGGCTTGGGCATGCAGCACCGCCAGGTTCTGTGCCGCCAGGTGTACGCCAACCGCAGCCTGACGGTGCAGCCCTACCGCTGCCAGCACCTGGAGAAGCCTGAGACCACCAGCACCTGCCAACTCAAGATCTGCAGCGAGTGGCAGATCCGGACTGACTGGACCTCGGTATGGGGCAGGGCAGCCTGCTGCAGACCCCCGTCTCCAGGACCCACCACCACTCTCCCACCTCCTCCCACCAGGACCTGAGACAAGATAACCCTCAGCTCCCCAGGAGGAAACCCATCCCCAGGGTGCTGGTTAGCTGTGTTTGCAGGTCCTGGGGTGTACCAAGAGCTCAGTTGAGTTCAGGCTGGTGTGCATCACCCACAGCCAACTTCATGGATGAGCCCATGGGAGCCCTGTGCCTGTTGACCTCATCAGACCCAGGTGTCGGGGTGGAGTGAGGTAGACAACCACTAACACAGCCAACTCTCCCATTTTATAGATGGAAAAACTGAGAGCCATCAGAATAAAATAGGCAAGATTTCCTCTAAGAAGGTCTTAAAGAAAAGAGTCGTGAAGTTTTCTAGGGCTAAGATCCTTCCCCAGGGGGACCTACAACACTGGGGACCTCACCACAGTTATCCATTCAGGACACGGGTGACAGAAGAGTGAGGACACATGCCACTGATGTAAGTTACTGTGTTTTAGTGCTCAGTGCCCTGTGGAGTGGGACAGAGGACCCGAGATGTGAAGTGTGTGAGCAACATTGGGGATGTGGTCGATGATGAGGAATGCAACATGAAGCTCCGGCCAAATGACATCGAGAACTGCGACATGGGACCCTGTGCAAAGAGCTGGTTCCTCACCGAGTGGAGTGAAAGGGTGAGTGTGTCAGTGGCAGACAGCCTCAGGCCAAGCCACTAAGCTAAGTGGGTAGGAGCTGTATGTCACAGGGTATCCCCAAACCACGCAAAGACAAATCACCAGCTCGGAGTCCYAAGGCTGATTTCTGACTTTGAAAAAAAAAAAGGACCAAAGATTGATTATTACATGCTCTGTCTCCTCATCTAAGGACTGAAATTTCAAGATTGAGAAGTGGGTGTGAGAAAAAAAAAATGAACTTAACTCTCCTTAGCACTGTGTATGATTAAATAATGAAATACTAAATATAGGGAATAATTACATCACACCTTTCTTGTTTTGTGAGTGCCTGGCAAATAACAGACATTCARCAAAACGTAGGCATCTCCCCTGCTTTTTAATAACTAAAAACATTTTAGACCCTGTCCCTCTCCCCAGTAGCCTGGTTCCCTCAGCCTCCTAAGTGTCAGGTGTCCATGAAAAACTCAAAGGCATATAAAGTTCTGTGAGTCCAGCAGTGACCTGTATACAAAGAAAATCAGTATTAGACCGAGTTGATGTGTCACAGGCAAAAATAGGGTTTATACGAGGAAGAGATTCTGGAGATGGGTGGTGAGGGCCACACAGGAAATGCACCTAGTGCCACTGAAGGRAGTTTAAAAATGGTCACGATGGCAAGTCTTATGCACAAATATACATAACAATAAAAAATAAGTTTTATTTTTATTTTTGAAGGAAAAACACTAAGCAAAATTAAAGAGTGTACGTTGGGGTGGGGAAAAGACAAGGGGGAAGGAGATGAGAAGGGTCATTTAATTCTGTCCCTCTCTTCACCACATAATCCACATCAGTGAGTTTGTTATTCAGAAAGAAAGGACAACCTGTGCGTGCAGCCTTGGGTCCACCCTCAGAGATGGTCCTGGAGACGGCCATGCAGCCGCTTGTCTTCTTGTGGATTCAGGGCTCCTGGTGGCACACAACTGCTGCCTCTTAGCCCCAGGATGCCCCCAGATAGAGAGCCCTTGGTGTCAACACTGAGCTCTTGGGATGAGCTAACTGGGCCCTGGGTCTCAGGGGTAGGCGGTAAGGGGCCCCAGCTTAGCCACCTGGGAGGCTCCACCCACAGGGAAACACACGGAAAGGGCATCCACCAACTCAGACTGCCGAGTCCAGAGGAGCTCATCCCAATTCTGTCTGCACATCGCCCCCTTTCCAAGCCTCCCACCCCAAACATTAGCTGGCGGTGTTGTGGAATCAGTGCTGGGAGGTGTCGGCGGTCGCTTTGATCAGCTCCCTGCCAGCACGCGGATGCTCTGCAGCCTTCCTGCCAAGGTCATTCAGGTTCTTGTCTGATTCCTTGGTCAGAAATTCTCCCCGTGTCCAGACTCGCTCATCTGTTTCTCATACAGCTCAAGGGTTCTGGAGGTTTCCAAAGAGCCTCCGGCTCTTGTCCTTTACAGAATCTGAGTGACCCTGCTTGCACGGCAGCCTGTGGCCATTTGGAGAGCCCTTCCACTTCTCCAGACTAAAAAGTCCTAGTTCCTTCAATTAATTCTTCAGTGATTTCATTTCTGGGTTTCTAGCCACCCTAGAATCTATTTGCATTCACAGYAAACTTGATAAATATATTGTGTAAGAAAATAGAAGAGAAGAATGATGCTGGGTTTCATTTTCATATGGAGGATTATTTTTGAAGAAYGTAATGCACTACTATAAAAAATATGAAAAATTCAGAAAACTAGGCCCAAAATCTCTTTACTAAAAGATAATAGTTTGAGATTATTTAGCCACACTTTCTAAATTTTTTTTTTTTGCTTCTCATACATACTCTGCACATAGGGGTTATACTACTTTTAGATATTTTAAGGATATAAGTCATAATGCAGGCATAATTTGATAACCTGCTTTTTTCACTTACATGTTGTAAACATTTCCATAGTATTAAAAGTCTTTAATGCATGGTTTTTAGTAAAAAAAAAAAAAAATAAGCTATTGTATAGCTACTGTAATTGAACCAGTCCCCCATTTCTAAATGTTTGAGTTTTTTTTCTAATTTTCTACTATTTTAAATTGGACCTTCAAAAGGATTTTCAGTGAATATTCTTATGTATCCCTCTTTATATGTGCCTTTTCTTATTCCCCTAAATCGTGTCTAGGAAGTGGAATTATTGGACCAAACGTTATGGACACATAATATGAACTCAATAGATTTTGACAAACTTATCTCCATAAAGATTATTTCAATTTATCATCTCCCCAACAAACTAGGAGCATTTTACTAATCAGTTTACTTTGATGAATTATTATACCTTTTTAATTGTATCTCTCTATATGTGCCCCACTCTGAAAAAGGCACTGGACTCAGATTGCAATATATACAGAAATAAAACAACTATGTAGATAGAAAAAAAAACCTGCCGTGGTTCATTCCTCTGTGTATCTCCCCTATTTATTTAGTGTAGTAAACTTCTACACATGAATTTTCCAAGGATTTCTACATCAGCTATTTCCCCTTCAATAACAACKTCTAAATTTCCCCTTAATGTCAATTTGCTATTTATTTTAACATAAGTATTTGCTGCATCTAACCTCTATCTTACAATTAAAATAGAGCAAAGAATGGGCCCTTTGTTCTTCTATTTAGAGAACTTTTTTGGTTTTTATGGAGATGTTTTAAGACAAGTAAGTTTKGAGCTAGGATGTAAGTAAAACAAATTTTGCTTTGTCTACCTCTAGAATATAAACTTATCCCTAAATGTCCATTCTTTCTTTGGAACTTTAGAATAGCTGAGTGGCTGAGTGGTAGGAGGATGCTGTTGGGTTTAAGGACAGCTCGTTGCCTTTGGAATCATCTCTGTGGCCACTGCTTTTTTCTTCTTCTTCTTTTTTGTACTGGCATTGAACCCAGAGGTGCTTAACCACTGAGCCACATTCCCAGACCTTTATATTTTTGACTTTGAGACAAGGTCTCACTGAGTTGCTTAGGGCCTTGCTAAATTGCTGAGGCTGGCCTCAACTTGCAATCATCCTGCCTCAGCCTCTCAAATTGCTGAGATTACAGGTGTGCACCACCACAGCTGACTACCACTTACTTCTTATTTGACCTTGAGCAACTGCTGAGTCTCTGAGCTTTTCTCGGTTTTCTCATCTGTAACATTGCTAGGTGAGCATTAAAGGTTAATGCACTGGAAATCATGACCAAGGAGAGGCTGGCACAGTGGGGAGTTTTCTATAGGCTGCTTCATCCTTCATAGGCTCCATGTCTACACTGGACCTTTGAGGCACCCCTTGGCCTTACAAGAGTCAGTCTCCATGAAGGACTGACCACCTGATGGCAGTATTCCACATTTGAATAGTTGCTTTATATAAAAATCCACCCTGCTAAGCTTCAGTCTAAACTTAGCAATTTTTCATTATTGAGAATTATCATGTATTGAGCACGTCTTGCATACCACACATGACCAAGACACACCCTCTGATTCATTGAGCTCAAAAGGAAAAAACCAGAGCTAGGCACAGTGGTGCACACCTATAATCCTAGCTACCCAGGAGGCTGAGGCAGGAGGATTGCAAGTTTAAGGCCAACTTAGCAAAACCTTGTGTCAAAATAAAATAAAAAGGATTGAGRTTGTAGCTTAGTGGTAGAGCACTTCCTAACACCTAATAAACCCTGGGTTTAATACTTAGTATTGCAAAAAAAAAAAATGAACAATTTTTAAAAAGAGGGACAGACCAGAGAAAACAAATGGATGTRTCTTGGTGCCTTACTTTGAAGATCAGTCTCTGCTGCTGAGAGGGACTCCCCTGCCCCTCATTTCAGCCATTAGGCTTCTTGAACCAAATTTAAAGTTGTGCTTTTCACTGCCGTTGATGTAATAAAGCAAAGCTTCTCTACAGGTCCCCTCAGTGTGTCCTCTCACTCATCCTTAACGGTCTTCTTTTAAATCAAGCCACTTGGGAATTTGGAGAAATTTTCCCAGATGCCTGTGCATTCTAGATTTAGAAAGCAGAAAATTGAGTTAACTAGTCAGATGTAAATTACGTGGGAAGAAATATCTTTAGGGTTTTTTAAATATATTTTTATAACTTTATTTATTTATTTATTTATCCATTTATTTATTTATTTATGTGGTGCTGAGGATCGAACCCAGTGCCTCCCATGACTAAGCAAGTGCTGTACCACTGAGCCACAACCCCTGCCCCCTCTTTAGGGTTTTAAACACAGAGATAATTGAGATTTGATTTTTGTATTCTTTACAAGAGAGTATAAATACCTTGAATTTTCAAGTTAGGAAGAAGACCAGATCATACATGACTGAAACAAAAATCCCTCCAGTCCAGACTATTCCGATTATTGTAACAAAGAATTTTCTTAACCTAAGGAACTATTGCATTGTGTAAGATTTCTAATAATGATGCAAAAAGAGCAAAAGTCATAAAGTATGTATGTAAACATGTAAAGGARGGAAAACTTATCCTCTACCCTCTTCGATTTTCTGGCTGCAGCCTATTAATTTAACTAACAAAATATTAACAGGAGGAAGACATACAAATTTTATTTGATGTTAATATCWTTGTGGCACAAGGAACTTCATAGGAAAGAAGCAAAAACTCCAAAGAAGTGTCTGGACTCAAGGGTYCATATACCACTTTAACAAAGAACAGTAAATTGTGAAGTAGTAACTAGACAGGGGGAAAGGGTTGAGCTTTGAGTAAGTTCTAAGAAAGTGAGAAAGAAGTATAAGGGGGAAAGTAATGGAAGTTAAAGATTATTTTACTAAGTTTATGCAGACTCGTCTCAGAGCCAACTCCCCATCTCCAGTGATAAAAATGTTCTCTTTTTCCTAGTACTGGGAAGGCACCTTTCTCATTGGAAATTCATGCCCTGCTTTTAGGGAGAAAAGGAAAGGACAGAAAGCCCTTCTTGCTTCTCCTATTTCTCAATTGCCTTCAGCTCAAAAGAATTAGTACACTGAAGCAGYATATTTTGGGTGGCATGTTCTGGCCCTCTGCAAACCCTTTTCTCCAGAAGGGAGTTCGTTCAAAAGGAGGCAGGTCCAATTCAGCAGAAGTCATGTAAATGTTTGACAGTTCACCTGAGGTGTGGTTTTATGAAAATAGACGGCAGTATACAAAAATGGAAATGGACATTTTGATAATGAAATGAGGTTGTGAGGATTTTTTTTCTTTCCTCAAAATAGTTATTACTAAGGGTGAATGGCAAAGGAAATGGAGAGCTGTAGTCAGAGGATGTGAAGTAGCAGATACATAGGATGAAAAAATCTAGAGCTTTCATGTGCAACATGAGGACTATAGATAATAAATCTGTTCATGCGAAATGAGTAGGTTTTATCTGCTATGGCCATAAAAAGGGGAGTCACTATGTGAGATGGTGGGTATGTTGTTAATTTGCTTCACTATAGTAATCTTTCTATTATCTCTGTGTCCCATAACATCATGTTGTGTACCTTAAATATACACAACAAAATTTTAAGTGGTAATTGGTAGAAAYCAAACTTTAACTCTGTCTTTAAAAGAAGACCTAGCTGGGCACACACCTGTAGACCCAGCAACTTCAGARGCTGACACAAGAGGATTGCAAGTTCAAGGCCAGCCTCAGCAACTTAGTAAGACCCACAGCAACTTAATGAGACCCTGTCTCAAAATTAAAAAAAAAAAATTAATCGGGCTGGGGATGTAGCTCAATGGTAAAGCATCCCTGTGTTCAAGCACCAACACCCAAAAATAAAAATAAAAGAAGACCCAGAAACCTTTAGATGSACTTTGGTCATGCTATAAATGACCACTTACAGGACTGAAAGTGTTAAGAAAATGAGCAGCGAGGGAGGAGACCCAAGTTCGTGTTCATTTATTCAGCTGATATTCATGGATTCATCCATGGATAAGGCAGTGATATGAGAAGGAATTAAGGATGATTCAATAGTCCCTTTCCTTGCCAAGATTATTTCTATAAAGAAAAAAAATAAAGAAATAGGACACAAGTAACCATAACACAGTAGAAGAAGGCAGACTACAGACTGCCATAGGATCCTGATGCTAGAAAGAGTGCATTGAATCGATGATCAAGGGAGTTTCCCCAGAGATGATAACATTTGAGCTTAAAGGGGTCTGATGGGTCCTGGGGAAGGGAAGAGCATTCCAGGCAGAGGGAACAGCATGCCGTGGGCTCTATGAGCCTGTCCTGTAGTCAGGGAATCGTGACCACCCTGGCTCTGCAGCATGAAGTGTATGGGATGGAGTGATGAAACATTAGTCTAAAAGAAGGAGCAGATTGGGGACATTTAAAATATCTGACTTGTTTCTGGAACTTTTTATTTAATATTTTCAGASTACAGATGACTGTTGGTAACCAAAACTGTAGAAAGCAAAACAGTAGATAAGGGGAGRCTACTGTAATGGGGCAGGCTGTGCATGGGAAGTGGTCAGGTGTATCTACAGAAAGACTTGGTATAGAAATGAGGTGTTCCTCCCTCCTTGGCATCATTTGGAAGGGGCTTCYGAGTCTGGGGTGCCGCCTCTCTCACCTGCCCTCCTCCTGTCTCACAGTGCTCAGCYGAGTGTGGGGTTGGAGTGAGGACTCGCTCAGTGGTGTGCATGACCAACCACGTCAGCAGCCTGCCCTTGGAGGGCTGCGGGAACAACCGGCCAGCAGAGGCCACCCCGTGTGACAATGGACCCTGCACTGGCAAGGTGGAGTGGTTCGCTGGGAGCTGGAGTCAGGTGAGTGGCCAGAASTGGGTGTGTCTGTCTGTCCCATGCAAGAGGCAGCATCCGGAGGGCTTAGGAACCCGGACTTTGTGGCAGGTGTCCCAGCTGTGCAGTGGCTCCCGTGACTCTGGAGAAGCTACTTGGGCTTTTGTGCCTCATGCACCAAAAGTATTTATTGAGCATCTACTGTRTGCTCATTTCAACACTTAGGCTACAGCAGGAAGCAAAACAAACATCCCTGCTCTCAGGGAGCTATGGCCTGGCACGGTTTCCTTATCTATAAAATGATGGCAATGGCCACACCTTCGGAGGTTATAAACACAGGGAGTTGCAGCTGCTGCTGGTGCTGCTGCTGCTGCTGCTCTGGTATTGTTACTGTTAATTAGGCCAGCTTTGTCTGCACTCCGTGTCAGAGCTGAAAGTTTTACAAGTTGGAGTTGTACATTATAAAGAATGGAGAATATTGAATACTTTAAAAAAGTAACTTGATGGATGAATCAGTTCTTTCCTCACTGTTCCAACTTTGAAGGTGACCCCCCTGAAAAAACCTAGCAGCAGGTCATTCCCTCTGATTGCCCTGCTGTGATTCCCCTCRGTATTGGAGTTCTTGGACCACTTAGCATTTGGCTCCCGGGGCTGGCTGGTACTCCAAGGACATTTTGGCTGATGTTCATGATTTACACATTATCAGGACCTCTGGCTCCATATACAATTTTATTTCTTTTAAGTAGCTTTAAAAACAGACCTTGAAAAAAAAATGGACTGCCTTGTCCTTATAAATTGATACAAGCCCTTTGGAAAGCAAYTTGGCAATAAAAGTCAAGAYCCATAAAAATGTTCATTTGCCTTCACCCAGTCACCCTTCTCCTGGGGATTTGCTTTAAGGAAATAATTAACAGAAGAAAAAAGGCTTTTTCAACAGAGATGTTCATGACAGCAGGATGGCTAGGGATATTATGGGATGTCAGACTCAGTAAAATATTGTGTACCAATGACAATGATCATTAAAGGATATAAAAAGTATGTGTGAGATAATAGCAAGTGAAAATACAACTTGAAAATATATCAACCCGAAATCTCAAAACATAGTTTTTATGTAAACATCATGGAAAAATGTTTTACATTTTTCTTTAATATTCTTATAATATAATTCATAAAATTACAGAAAATTTCAGACAAAAAAAAGAATTCAACTACACTTCCATTGCCTACTCTGCTGAACGTCAGAGTCAGACACATTGATAACTTATTCCGGCTCCCCTTCTCACTAGTTTTCTGACTGGAGCAGGTAATTTAACCCCCCTGAGCCTGTTTCCTCATCTGAATATAAGGATAGCACCAATCTCCTCATGCTGTTAACAGGTTTCATAAGATGCTACACATATGGGGAGTTACTCATTGCTTGGGACATGGGGAACCTTTAATAAATATTCTGTTTCCATTTTTATTAATTTTTTTTCTGCCAGCTTTTTCACATGTTTGCCCCTGCCCCAGCCCAGAGAGGCTGAGCCTCAGGCCCAAGCTCACCAGCAGGGGAGGAGGAACAGACTGGCCAGGGAAAGGTCTCTGCCATAGGACTGCAAGCCAGAAGCACCACCCTGGGTGACCCAAAGTGACAGAGGCTGGGTTGGTCCTGAGCTGCATTGTTTATAAAACCCAGGGCTCAGAGCTAAGTAACAGCTGCAGCAGTGTCCCCCTAAGAGGCACATGCCACAGTGGAATGGAAAAGACAAATGCATGCTCCAGAGTCTGCCACAGTGTGCCCACTGCAGCTGCCACCACTGCCACCACGCCTCTAGCACCAAGCAGTCAGGGGCCCCAGGCTCTGGTATCCATGGGCTAAGATGGACCTATCCTTGGGCAGTAACCCCATGTCCTTCAGAGTCCTCTGAGGCCCAGGCCCTGGCCCATCTCCTCTGGCCCTTGGCATTGACCCAGTCCCACAAAGCATTCTCCAGCRGAAGCCAGGCCTGCCTCTGTGCCAAGGTAGATCAGCACATATGCACCACTCCTGGCCTCTGCCACCAAACCTGGCTGCCTCACCTCTGCTGTGACTCCCTGTCATCTCTCTAATCCCTGCTACCTCCAGGGTTGGCAGACAGCATAGCCAAGCCAGGGCCTTCGGCTCCCCAGGGCACAAGAAGCAGGCAGGAGATCTCTCTGTGAATCTCTCGGGGTCCTGATGGAGCCTGCATCCCAGGACTTGCTGACCAGAAAAGAAACACAGGCAACATGTTGGGGAMCCTCCCACAGTGCTGCTGTGGCTTCCTCTTTCAGGTCTTAGGGGCCAGGGGACATTGTTATGAGCCCTCCCCCAGCAAGAGAAGAGGTACAAGGTACCCCCAAGAAAGAGATGGATCGGGGGTTTGTGAGCAATACCCAGAGCACACTCTCTGCAGCCCTGATGCAAACAGAAGTAGCTCAGCCTCTAAATGATGCCACGGGTGTGTCCTCTGAGGCACATTTTGTGCATCTGTAATTGGAGAGGGGAACGGATGGGTGGAGATCCCACTTAGAATCTTGCATCAAGCCAAGTAAATTCTGCTGTCAGAACTGAGTCCCGGGGAGACCAAGCCCTGCAGGCTGGATATGAGGGGGTGGGGAGCATGTCAAGCCAGCACCTTCCTCATCCCTTTCTGTGAAGTCCCAGGCCCAGTGTCCCTCTCAGGTGAACCAAGGGATGGGGGTCAGCAGAGACATGACCAGAACTTGAAAAGTATAGGCTGGGGTAACTCCCCTGCCTGCCCACCCCCCAGACTCACCCCCCAAATCCACCAGAACCCCAGGGCAGGGCTAGGTACTCAGAGTTCTCACTRAGAGACCAGGGTGGCTAAGTGCCAAGAGCCTCTGTCTCACCCCAAAGGGGCCCCACGCCCAGGCCAGGGTGCTCAGAGCTAGAGTCTGGGGTGAGGCAACTTTTAACCAGATTTTTTAAATCTTTATTGGTAACAAAGCACCTAGCATCTAAATTCCCAAATAATTCAGAAGTGACTGTTTATGGGACTCTAAATATATCCATGGAAACAGGCAATGGAAGATATCTCTATGAAACCGTGGTGTCGGATCACAGCTGTCACACAGTTCAGTTGGGCTCAGTGGCCCAGGCTGAGCAGAGAGGAAGGGAGCAGGATTTGGGGCCTGCCTGTTGGGAAGGGAGGAATGACCATAGGGGACATTGCCCCAGGTCTGGGGGCTTCTCCTCAGTTTATGTGTTGAAAGAATTTTAATGGAGCCCTTCTTCCACAGGTGTGCAGGCTCTGGGAGATTAATTCATTCATGCTATCCACCCTCTAAGAATCTAAAATATAAAATTAAAATGTCAGCTCATTGTTTTAGCACGTCTGAGAGTGTGTCAGAGTGTACTGGACAGAAACAGCCAAATTAACTGGCTGGCAAGTTCCTTTAAGGTAGAGAAACTATTCAGTCCCAGCACAGAAGACAATGTGGTATCAGGGACCGGCGTCCTTGAGTGGTGTCAACCCAAGGGCACTGACTGTGCACTCCAGAGCAGAACTGTTAGGAAAATTGGAATCCACATGTGGCTTCTCCTCCAAAAACATCTTCAGGTTCCCTTGGGTTCTTCTCACTGACTTGGTGGCAGAGTGGGTGCTGTCCCTTGATGGACAGTAGTTCTTGTCCCCTTTCCCTCACATGGCACCATCTCCCTCTGTTGCTTTCTCCAGTGTTCCATCGGGTGTGGGAGTGGGACACAGCAGAGGGAGGTGATTTGTGTGAGGAAGAACGCAGACACTTATGAAGTGCTGGACCCCTACGAATGCTCCTTCCTGGAGAGACCCCCCAGCCAACAATCGTGCCACCTCCAGCCTTGTGGAGCTAAATGGTTTAGCACAGAATGGAGCATGGTAAGTCACGGTGCTCTTGATAGAGATTGTCTTAATACGGTGTTCCCCTGCTGGCCCCCCAGAGTCACCTCTAGGCCAGGCTGGGCTCAATTGAAAAGTGGATTCTAGACTCTCTGTGGCAATCTACTCTAAGTAGCTGCTGCTGGGGGTAGCCCTGCTCAGTGGGGTGAATCTGAAGCTTGGTTTCTAAATTGTAGAGCAGTGACTCTTTCTGTGTGCATAAGAATCATCTGGGGACCTTGTTTGAAAAGACCAAATTTGGGCCCATCCTGGACAAAGATTGTATTTTTAATAAGCAGGATGCAGTCAATCTTGGTCTGCATTCCGAGAAACACTGCTGCAGAGGAACAGTAGCTAATTGGATTAAAGAAATGTTGCTAAAGGTACTATATTATTACTTAGAAATAAGGTACTAGGCTGGGGTTGTGGCTCAGTGGTAGAGTGCTTGCCTTGCACATGTGAGGCACTAGGTTTGATCCTCAGCACCACATAAAAATAAATAAACAAAGTAAAGGAAAAAAAGTAAGGTACTAATATTATAACTTATAAATTAATACATCTTTAAAGAGTGTTTTCTAGTTTCTCATTTCATCCACTGAAAGAGCCTAGGAACAGTGACAAATACAATGCAAAGGGCACTCCTGATATCCAAATTGCAGTTTTGAAATATCTCTTGCCAGTAGGGGGGACCAGGCATTCTTAAAGGAACGGCTGATTCCAGATTTGAGATAGCAGATATGAGCTTTTCATCAGCCCTTCACAAAAACAGCTGAATTCATGTCCAAAAGACTTAGGAGGCAACTTTTACAGTCTTCAGCTAGACACTGATGGATGGTTTGAGCATTGGTAAGAATAATAAGTATAATTAACTCAATGAAACACATTATATATGTTTAAATCCATCAATTTGTAATAGGTTTATAGCAATTTTTTTAAAAAAGTAAGAGCTGGAGGATGAGCACAGAGGTAGAGACAGCACTTGCCTAGCACACACAAGGCCCTGGTTTGATCCCCTGCACTACAGGAAAAAACAAAAGCAAAACAAAAAAAAAAAAAAAACAATAAATAAATAATTTTTTAAAAACAAAACAAACTAATAGATCACCATTACAGGATGTTAGAGAATCACCTCATTGTTCTGAAAAGTGATAAAGAGAAAGAATCGAGCATTTGCTCTTTTTTTCTTTTAATTATACCACTGGGTAAGCAAAAAGTAAATCTGGGGAAGGGATTCTTAAGAAGAAATGAGAGAGGGGCTGGGATGTGGCTCAAGTGGTAGCATGCTCGCCTGGCATGCGCAGGGCGCTGGGTTCGATCCTCAGCACCACATAAAAATAAAAAAGTAAAGATGTTGTGTCCACTGAAAACTAAAGAATAAATATTTAAAAATTCCCAAAAAAAAGAAGAAATAAGAGAACTACAGTATCATGTTTCAGCCCCAAATGACCTAAGGATCTGGGCATTACATGTCAGTGGATGAAAATATCCCCAGGAGAGAGAGAGCCACACAACTCTGAATCAATCCTGTACCTGTTGAGGCCTCTTCTAGATCCAATTCAATGGATGGAAATACAGAGAACAGAGGAACATGTAAAATCCATTCAGCAAAATCCATTCTTTCAGAATTCCACAGAAAAAAAATTCAGTTCTTTTACCCAAAAATGTTTGAAGTACCAGTGGGAAAAGCCACTGGAAAGGAAACTTGTGGATTAAGAGTCAAAAAAGACATCAACTAATTGCCACATGCAGACCTGATATGAATCCTGGAATGTAAAGAAAAGCAAGTACTTATAAAACCTGTGAGATTCATAAGGCAAGTGAAAATAGGACACTGAATATATATTTTGATGATAAGGAACTTTTAGTTTTTAAGTGTAACAATGGTATTATAATTTTTAAGGGTTCTTGTCGTTTAGAGCTATAAACTAAAACATTATGGAAGGAGTGATATGATGCCTGTATTTGCATCAAAACAGTATGAGGAGTAGAAGTGAGAGGGGCATAGATGGGACACGACATGAGTTGCGCTCTGGGTGATACGTGCATGGGAGTTTGCTTTGATATTCTGTCTCCATTTTGGAAATGTTTGAACTTTCTCAATATCTTCCCTCTCCAGTGTGTGGAGCTAATAGACTGACTTTTCCTCTTTGTTGCCATACAGTGCTCCAAGAGCTGCCAGGGTGGCTTCCGGGTCCGGGAAGTGAGGTGTCTGTCAGATGATATGACCCTAAGTAATCTCTGTGACCCTCAGTTGAAACCAGAAGAGAGAGAATCTTGTAACCCCCAGGACTGTGTCCCTGAAGTTGGTAAGTCCCCTAAGTTCCTGTCTTAGAGAAAATGTCCAGCCAGACGTGGTGGCACACACCTGTAATCCCAGTGGCTCGGGAGATTGAGGCAGGAGGATCACAAGTTCAAAGCCAGCCTCAGCAATGGTGAAGTGCTAAACAACTCAGTGAGACTCTGTCTCTAAATAAAATACAAAGTAGGGCTGGGGATGTGGCTCAGTGGCTGAGTATTCCTGAGTTCAATCCCTAGTACACCCCCCCCMMAAAAAAAGAGAGAAAATATTCATCTTTCTTAAACTCTGAAAATGCCAAACTGATGTAGATATGTCTGTGACCTCATTAAGTCATGGAATTCAGGGGTCAAACTCTTGACATTGTAAGTTAAAGGGTTTAAGGTAACTATTCACAGTATGAATGGCTATCCCAGCCAAAAGAAAAACTTTAGTGTGAATTCATTAACTTTTAAGTGCATCCAAAGATTTAGTTCTATCATTCTTAAAGTCAAAGTAGTAAAATTTCCAACTTTTAATTGTATATGCAAACCACTATTGCTTGTCCATATAGAGGAATGCCAAGACCTCACAGCAGCTTGGTTGAGAATGGAGGAAGGGGAGATTCAAGAACAGATAGAGACAGTGATGGAGAGTCCAACCTGATATCTGCATGGCACAGTCCAGAATCTCAAATCAAGAATGGAGAGATCCCAGTGGGAGAGTTAGCCACCACATGGCTGGATTCCTGCAGGGAACGACAGCCCTGCAATTCAGGAGGCCCTACCCAACCTATAACCTAGAAATTGGGTCAGGTTCCCTGGGCTGTGGTTCATGAGGAATGGTCCCAATCCTTATAGAACTGAATTACAGTGAGAAAACTAAAGAAGGTAACTTACACATCTACTGGGCAAAAGAAGGTGTGAGGTGGGTGAAGATGCAGCTCCAGAGGCATACTGGATGCCCCCAACCCCCCCAACACACACACACAGTCTACTCAGAATATGTTGCCAAGCTTGCCAGGACTGGCTCCAGAATAGAAATGTGCTGAGCTTTTATTATTCAGATGACGATGATGATGATGATGATGATTCACCTTTTCACTGCTGTGATCAAAATGCCTGATAAGAACAATTTAGAGGAGGAAAAGTTTACTCGGGACTCTCTCGGTTTCAGAGTTTTTCCCATGGTCAGCTGACAGAACATCATGGCAGAAGAGCATGGAGGAAGAAAGCTTCTCAGCTCATGGCAGCCAGGAAACAAAGAGAGCAAGGAGCCAGGGACAAAATATGTCATCCCAAGAGCACCCCCCCCAATGACCTACTTACTTCCTCCAGCCATGCCCCACCTGCCTACAGTTACCACCCAATAATTCATTCAACTTATCAATCAATCAAATAGATTAATTCACTGATTGACACAGCTCTCATGATCTGATTATTTCACCTCTGAACGTTCCTACTTTGCCTGTCATGTGAACTTACTGGGGGATACCTCATATCTAAATCATAACGCCCTATTAAGGTCTGGATCTGGAATGTGTTAAACACTTGGACCCCAGTGCATCACTGTTCAGAGGTGGGGCTTGGAGAAGTGAATGGATCCTGAAGATTCTGACCTCATTTGTAGATTAATCCATTGTTGAATTCATAATCTGAATGGACTATTGGGAGGTGGTAGAAACTGTAGGAGGTGAAGCCTAGTTGGAGGGAGAGGGTCTTTGGAGGTGTGTCCTTGGGATGAYATCTTGTCCCTGACCCCGTCCTTCCTCTCTGCTTCCCAGCTGCCATGAGTTGAGCAGCTTTCCTCCACCACGCCCTTCCACCCTGATGTTCTTCCTCCCCTCAGACCCAAAGCAATGGAGTCAGCCAACCGTGGATTGACACCTCTGGAACTGTGAGCCAAAATACACATTTCCTCCTTTAAGTAGTTCATGCCAGGTATTTTGGTCACATGGAAGAAAAACTGACTAACTCTAACCCCCTTTGTTAGAATTCTTCTGGGTCCCTAGGTACCTATTTACTCTCCTCATCATCATAGTAACATTAAAGGGAACATGGAAATGTATCAGTAGGCTGTCATGCCTAAGGCCCTGGGTTCAATCCCAGGACCAGATGGAGAAAGAGAGAGATTTACTTATCTCCCATTTGGGAGTCTCAAAGCTGAGCTCCTGGCATTGGCTCAGTTTGAGTGATGGCCTTCTTGCTAACAAAGTCCCAAGGCAGCACATGGCATCACGTGGCAAGAGACAGAGAGCACACCATCTCTGGTCTCTGTGCCTCTTCTTTAAAGCCACCAGGATTCGTTCATGGGATGGAAAAAACTCTGAAACCGAGAGTCCCAAGTAATTACCTTTCATCCTAATTACCTTTTCCAAGTCTAATCCCTTTCCCAAGACCCAATCTCTGAACACCATAGCCAGATCAAGTTTCCACCCTCTCGATACCATTATGATCCTGGGGGTTAAACATCTACAAGAGAGTGGGGGACAAGCCATATTCAAACCATGGTGTTTCTCCATTTATTTATACATGTTATAAAGCTACAAAAACTAAAACTATATAGTACTGTTACTGGCAGAGACAGCCAACTGTTACACCACAGAATTCTGAAACAGACTTTTTTATCCAAGGGAAATTAACTAGGATAATGGTTGAAAGTTAATTGAGGAAAGGAGAAATTTCCATTGTATTGAGACAATTTGTTTTTTTATTAAACAAGACACCTTAAATCTTACATCATGCCATATACAAATAAATACAAGTGTCCAATAGATTAAAGAGCCTAACAGAAAACACTATAAAAATGCTAGGGAAAAAAAAATGGGCTGGAGTTATGTCTCAGAGGTAGAACACTTGCCTCGCATGCATGGGGCACTGGGTTCAGCACCACATAAATAAATAAAATAAAGGTATTTTGTCTGTCTACAACTATAAATTTAAAAAAATTAAATGCTAGGAAAAAAACTATAAATAGCTTGGAATTGGTTAAAGCCTTCATAAGCTAAACCCAAAACCCTAGATGTTATTGCTAATTATGAGAACACAATAAGTTAAAAGCTGTTTTCCTGCTTAGAATGTCATAGCCCAAGTTGGAAGGAAGGAAGGAAGGGGAAAACAAAGAGGGAGAGGAAGAGAATAGGAAAGATGGTGAGAAAATATCCAAAACACATTTTAGGAGAATGTGTTACCATCAGTATAAAACACAATGTCCAGCCAGGAAGCTGAGGAACAAGTTTGAAATAATTACTGTGTGTGTGCATACACACAAACATGTTCACTTGCGTTGGCAACACCACAGAGTTGAAAACTTAATTTAAATTTGGATCACAAATTGTCCCTCACGTTGTTTTTTTAAGGTCATATTATACTGCAATAATTGAAAAGAATACTTGTACATGTTAAGTTGCCTGCTTGTCTCAGGCACATGGATATGGATAATTAAAGACAGTTTGAATTGCCAGATCCTTGGAATTGCTTATGCAGGTTTCAAAACCAGGAATGATTGGCATAACAAAGTCATCTGTTCTGAAGGCCTGTCACTCAGCTGGCACACATTTGGAAAAGGTTTCCAACTAATAAGATGTGATATGAATTTTTGTTTTACCCCTCCAATTTGTTCGTTTATTCTTGCCTATGGTGTCTTTTCAATGGGGAAAAAGCATTTAGTTGTTTACCAATTATGTAAAATCCAATTAAGGGAAAAGGGAACTACAAGATTTTTTTTCTTTAATTTTTATTGTTGATTGTTCAAAACATTACATAGTTCTTGACATATCATATTTCACACTTTGATTCAAGTGGGTTATGAACTCCCATTTTTACTCTGTATACAGAATGCAGCATCACATCAGTTACACATCCACTGTTTTACATATTGCCATACTAGTGTCTGTTGTATTCTGCTGCCTTTCCTATCCTCTACT